AAATCTTGTGTGAGACCCAGGATCCAACTCAGCACATACAACTGGGTTCCAAACATATCAGTAAGAGATTTTAGAAACAAATCTCCTGTTTCCCAGGATAATTGCCAGGTTTTGTAGCCCACTGGGGCTTGGTGACTCCACCTAATTCAACTAATCAAAGATTTAGATTAAAATCTTCCAATTATTATACTGCATGGCCTCTTTTGAGTGAGAGACCTAATCTGTTTTAGCAAGCAAAATCCTTAAACTCTTTGAGTATGTTCACTGGCAGATTAACATGAATTGTAATCCATTCCATTTTCCATCATAGCAGTTACTGATTTGGATCCATTAAGACATTGGGTGTTCCTTAAGACTGTTAACATTTGACGCTTAAAATCTTGAGGTTTAGATCAGTCTCACTGCGTTGATTTGAACGTAGCTCATGGGCAGAGATCTTTTTTTTTCACTGACCGATCTAGAGTGCTTGACCCTTTATAAATGATAGAAAAGGTCTGTCAGTAACAATATTTGTTTAATGAATGGTAAGAGTTTCAAAATGACTACTTGTATTACTGTTTTGTCACCTTGGCCTTATGATGAAATTTGCCACAAATAAACAGCTCAAATTTTCATTCTCCATATAATTGCTTTTGTCTCTTTAAGAAAGAAGTCTCAGGAGAAAGTTGATTTGAGTGTGTGCTGCCCAAATGATTCATTGTCAAAACTGTGGCTGTTATTTGGTAAAATATTGGTAAATCTAAGAAGTAAAAGTGATGAGTTACTTGAACATTTTGCAGCTAGTATCTGACAGCCACATTGAGGAAGTTGTCTGTTCAAAACCAACCAAACAGTTCAAGATACTTGTAATTAGTTTCTTGCCTTCCTTTCTATAGATTATATTCTGTTTTGCTGATCTCGAGGCAAAACTTCACATTTTTTAGGAAAATAGTATAGTTTGTGTGATATTTTGCCCCAAAAGTAAGAGCACTTAAAACTAGGAGTAAAAACTTTAAAGTGGAGAGGCTATTTCTTCATTTAACAAATAAGGATTAAGTCAAGACAGAAGTACAGGGAGAAAAAAAATGTTTACACACACACACACTTCAGTAAGGAACAAAATAAGTGGTACAGTGGAAAAAACTCTTCCAGGCAGAAATTTAATAAGTTCTGTTATTTTGTTAGATTGATTATTCCTGATACCCAGMGTTTATATAGGTCTTTTCTGTTTAAGAATAATTACGCAGCCTCCATTCATGGAGACCCTATCTCAAAACAAAAAGAACTGAGGATGTAGCTCAGTGATAGAGTGCGCCCCTGGGTTCAATCCCTAGTACCAAAAAATAAGCCCATATGACTCCTACAGGTGAAGAAGAGGAGGGAGATTGCACAACATAGCCACTATCCCTGCACCCAAATGGCTTGGAGGGTTGGGTAGAACACATAGAAAAGGAGTGCTGAAAAACATCGATTGGTGTCCTCTATTTAACCTTGTAAAGTTGAACATGTACATTTCTCAACAGCCCATCGGTTTTATTTTGAAACATTTATAGAAAAACTGCATGTGTGCATCATAGGACATATACAAGAAGTATCAAAACTATTTGACTTTAAGCCATGAACACTGACCAATCAGATCCTGTGCCAGGTATAAACATTGCAGCTGATGACCAAGTCTGTATGAGAATGCTCAATGCATTCACAATAAAAATAAATAAAAGACTCAAATACCCATTGACAGGAGCATTGATACAATATATTAATAGAGCAGAAGGAATGTAATAGTGATCTGCAGTGTCATTCATTAGCGTGGTCAAATCTATGGTGAATACAAAGGCTGAGTATTAGTTCACAAATAAAACGTGTTTTAGGATAAATCTGAAGAAAAAGGAACCAGGGAAAAAGTGACCTATTGGAGACTAAATGGGGGGAAGAGGACCATATAGAATCTAAACAGTACTATTGTTCTGTTTCTTGGATATATAAGTCATGGTTTTGGTGGATGGTACTTTCATGAGTTTTTGTTTTAGGCTTCAACCTATATATGTGTTACATGTATATTTTGTACACATATTTCTCTTTTTAACCTTTCCTATTTTTARGTTTATTTATGTCAGGTATTTGTTACAATAGCAGAAAAYTGACTAACACATTCAAGTATGAGAACTGAATTTACCTTTTTAATTTTTTTGTTTTAGTTATACATGCTAGTAGAAATGCATTTATGCACTTTGATATATCATACATAGATGTGATATAATTTCTCATTTTTCTGAGTGTACATATTGCAGAATCATTGGTCATGCAGTCACATATATACATACAGTAACAATGTCTGTTTCATTCTACTATCTTTCCTATCCCCACATCCCATCCCCTCCTCTCCCATCACTTACTTCTATCTAGTTTAAAGTAAGGTGGTAATGCTATTTTCCCCTAGTGCCCCCTCGAACCCCCCCCCCTTATTGTGAATTAGCATCCGCATATTGGAGAAAACATTCGTCCTTGTGGGATCCGGCTTATTTCGCTTAGCATGATATTCTCCAACTCCAACCAATTACTGGCAAATTCCATAACTTCACTCTTCTTTTAAAAAACATGCATACAGATTCCTTCATGTAAAAATATATACACAAAAATATTTTTAAATAACTGATTAATAAGCTTCTGTAAAATGAGAACTGCAGAAAATGCTATAGGAGTTCAAGGGTGGCACAGAGCTCTGCACTTATTATTCAAATGATGATGGGATGATATAAGCTGGGTGTTAAAAGATGGAGACCAGATAGAAAATTTAAACAATAAGAGTAATGAAGAGAGCATACTATATGCAAGGTCAAAGAAGTGGGAAAAGTTTAAGACATGTTCAGAAAAAAGCAACAGAGTTAAAGAATTCTTACTTGTAAGAATGGAAAGAGATACATTTGGGAAAGTAGAATGGGAACAAACTGGAGGAGTTGTGGACACAGTGCAGAAGATAGTCAAGGTTATGGGCAATCAGCAATGATTTTTTAGTAAGGGAATAAACAGGGCCATCTTGAGAGATGGTGAAYTGGATGGATAAGAAGAGAGAATAGTTCAGAGTCTTCATTCAAATGCTTGGGTCCTCATTCAAGTTTCAGGTCAAATGAAAGAYACAAGGAAGAAGCTAACAAAATCTACTTATGTTCCCAACCACTGCTTAACTGTTTACCCACAAAATGAAATTGTCCTACTTTTACAAATCAGGTGGTATCATTGCACACGTAGATTTGTTGACGTATAAGGTAAAATAATTTTCAGTAAGCTGTTTCCCCAACAACTTTAACATTTATGTGTGTTTGCTGAGTTTAATATTTTACAGATTTTGTAAAATGCAAACTGCAAAGATTTTGGGATTCTAATTGGGACTATTTGTGTGTGTGTGTGTGTGGGGGGGGGGGTGACTGAGGATTGAACCCAGGGCCTTGTATACTGGAGGAAAGCACTACTACCAACTGAGCTATCCCCAGCCCAAGATCTAGGGATTCTAAGGAGTACTTTCACTTAATTTCCTTTTGATTTTATATATATATATACTTGTATTTTAGTTGTGTATTTATCTGTTTAGAAAGTTCTAGAAGGGTAGCGCCATACTGTATTAATTAATTTTCCTTCCCTGTGTGTTACATTGTGTTGTAGTGGGTAGTCATTATTCAGTACAACAAAAACACAAGTCTGGGAATTGATAATCACAGGAAACCCTGATACCTTGCGAAAGAGAAACCTTGGACGCATCCTTGGGAGCTCAGGAAATAAACTTGAWGCAGCCATTTTCCTGAAAATTTTCACAACTAAATGGTGCTCTTGATCCATTCCCCCATTTAAAGGCCATGAAGAAAATGCCAGAGGACTYTGTCAAGAAAAATTAGCTCTTAAGATGTCCTCTCTTCTTACCTGCTAACAAAGAAGGGAACTTAAGACTGGGTTTTCAGAGTTGCTGAGTGAAGAATTAAGGGAAGTATCACAAATAGGCAAGCCTAAATTACTTTTCTAAGTGTAATTATAGTAGCCAAAAAAATCTGCAAGAAATCTAAATATCAAGTGATTTAAATACGACCCATCCATTCTGTAATATTATGTAGTCTTAGAAACAAGAGAGGGGCTGGGGATGTGGATTAGTCATACAGCGCTTGCCTGGCATGTGTAGAGGCCCTTGGTTGGATTCCCAGTACCACCAAAAGAAAAAGGTAAATGAAAGACTAGCAACGTGGAAAAAAAAAAGTATTTTTTTTAAAGTGCGTGAGTGTGGGGCTGGGGATGTGGCTCAAGCGGTAGCGCGCTCGCCTGGCATGCGTGCGGCCCGGGTTCGATCCTCAGCACCACATACCAACAAAGACGTTGTGTCCGCCGAGAACTAAAAAAAATAAATATTAAAAAAAAATAAAGTGCGTGAGTGTGAACGGAAGAAAAGYAGGTTCTGCGTGGGAAAAGAAAAGGAAAGGATGTGTGTGTGGGGGAGGTAAAAGCTGTGAAGGCTCATTTTATTAAGTACCTACTACATCTTAGGCGTGGCGGGGGGCAAAGTCCTGCGGTTGACGAAATTTAGGGCTTAAAACAGTAGAACATCACTGTCTCATTAAAAAAAAAAAAAACAACTTATAAAACACACTCTTGGTTTAAGCGGGTAACGTGACCGCGTACGTGGTAACTGCGCTGCTGCATTCTCCCGGGAACCTCTCGAAGTAGGGACGAGAACTGCGGCCCCAGCCCTGCAGCGCCGCACCGTCTGGCTGGGGGAAGTTAACCGTCTCAACACCGACTGATTTGGGGGTGTGTCGCTGGAAAAGAGGGCAAACTAGGAGGTGCCTCGAGCCGTGCCGGGGCCTTGCCCCGCTGCGGGATAACGGTAGAAGCGGGATGGGCCGCCAGGGTCCGCGCAGGCGGGGGCGTGGCGAGGCGCTGGCGTCAGCCCCGCCCTGCGGCCGGCCCTGCGCGCTGATTGGCCCCTCGAGCCACGCGCCGCCGGCTGCGGGCGGGGGCTCTGCTAGGAGGTGGTGAGGTGTCGAGCGACCTGCGCACAACCGCCCGAGGCCGGGAGCTGAGGCAGAGGCGGGCGGCGCACCCTTCGCGGGTCTCCGCAGGTATCTCTGCTCGAACCGCGCGGTCGGGCCGGCAGACCAGCCTCCGGAGAGTTTTGGTTGTGTCTGGCCCGTCGGTGGCTGCTGGCGGCCCACTCCGCCGCCCACCTGTGTGAGAAAGTGGCCGCGTCTCTGCCCCCTAACAAGCGCCGCGGCCTCGTCCCACACCCCTGCACCGGTGAATTCCGCGGGTGCCYTCGCGGCCTCGAGCTCACGCCAGCGCCTGCGGCCAGGGGCTCGGGAGAAGCGGCGTCCCGGAGGCCGGGACTGGGGGCCACAGGGCGAAGGCCGGGCGGGGCGGGCGTGCTGGTGCGGAGCTCGGGGAGGTGGGCCAGACGGGGAAAGGCCAGGTGGGAGGGACCGGGGGCTGGAGACGTCCCCGCACTCATTCACCGGGGTCGTAGGCGGTCCGGGTGCCGCAGGGAGAAACCCGGGGCCGGGCGTCCGCCCGCCTCCTTTCCCCGGAACGGGGGCGGCGGTCTTGGGGTGAGTCCTGCCTCCCCCTCTTCCGCGGGTCCCAGGACACGCACCCCCGCCCCGGCGTCCGCTCCAGAGTCCAGAGCACCGGCCCGTGGTGGCGCCGTGCTGTGCCTTAGCCTGTACCTCCAGTGAGGCGGCTGCCCTCTTACAAGACTCCAGTACGACTGGGGACCACCTGGCTTCTAGTCCTTAGAAAGGCCTGTGACGTAGCCGGGAATAGAGGCGCACGCTTGAGATCCCCGGGACCCGGGAGGCAGAGGCAGGAGGGTCGCAAGTTCAGGGCCAGCCTGGGCAACTTAGCGAGACCCTGTCTAAAAAAGGGCTGGGGATGTGGCTCAGGGGTAGAACGCCCCGGGTCCAACCCCCAGGGCCTCCATCCCACAAAAAACAAAATACTGAGGGTAAAGTACATTCTTTAGAGACAGATATGCTGTGATGAAATTGAGAACATGTACGTGTAGTTACGAATTCCATAACTAGCATATTTCCAAATACCAGCGAATTCCGTTACCAGTAAGAATTTTAACATTTAAATATATTTAGTACTTGAAGTGAAACTTGGCTCAAACTCATATTCAAACCCTTCTTTCCTTGAAAGACACCCTTTCTGGTAAAGAAGATACAAAAATGATGCTGCTACAGTTTTTGCTAAGCATTCAGCACTGTGCTAGGTATTAYCCATGTGGTTCCTTTTCTCAGACTCTACAAAATATAGTATTATTGATAATACCTAATGTGTCATTTTTACTGAGTACTTACTATCTACTGGATTCTGAATAAACCTAAGTGCTTTTATTTCAATATCATGAGTGAGGAAACCGAGGCTTCCAGAAKTTAAATAACCTAAGGTCACATAGCTAATGAGACGCAATCAAGTCTTAAATTCTGAACCAGTCCCTTTTGCGTTTAGACCGATTTAAGTAACCTCTCTTTAGAAACAAAACAAAATCCCACTTATTTGAATACTGTTCTAGCTGTTGTTCATTTTCTTCTAATCATTGCATGTTCATGCTTCCTGCCTCATTTTCTAACTTTAATTCTATTCAGCTGAATATTCTATTCACTCCTACCACTACATGGAAGTGTATTATATGTAATACAGTTTCTAATCAGATTTGAATTCATCAGAGGAGCTGTGCCAATTAATTATTTTTAAAATGCCTTAGCACTTACTGGGATTGTGGTTCACATGTAGAGTACCCACCTAGCATGCGTGAGGGCACTGGGTTCGATCCTCAGCACCACATGAAAAATAAAATATTGTGTCCACCTAACTAAAAAAATAAATATTTGAAAACAATGCCTTAGCATCTAACAGTTGGATGAGGTCAAAAGCCTTTATAACCATTAGAAGATTAAAAATTGAAAAATTTAAATCATCAAAATTGTGGAGATATAATAACTGTAGCAAAACTTCCAGCAATTTGCCAGAATATTTTTCCTGTATTTGCTGTATTTTTCAATAATTAGATAATGCTGGTTATRAATAGAAATGCTGTAGTCATTTCAATAAAGATTCTTAAGTTATTTTATCAAAAAGATTATTATATACAAGGCCCTTGGTTCAATCTCTACCCCAACCCCAACCCCAACCCCCCAGAAGTGATTCTTCCTCATAGTAGTGGCTTAACTCAAACCTTAAATGAAGCCAGGTATAGTGGCATATGCTTATAATCCAAGCTAATTCAGAGGCTGAAATGGGAGAATTATTTGAGGGGTTTGAGACTAGCATGGGCAACATACACCCCAAAGACAAGAAGCCACTGCCACAATTTATTGTGTGCAGTTAGACTGCAAATGCTAGAACTAAATTTGTATATTGTTTGCATTATCACTAGGTTTATGTTTTCCTCGAAAGGTGATAATAAGTAACATTGGAATGCTAACTGTATGTCAAGTATTTGACAATGATTTCATTTAATGTTTAAAATAGTTATTTAGTAGTTAAAAAAATATGAGATTTGGAGTGAAATAGTCTTGGATCCAAGTTCTACTTTTATCACTACATGGTTTATGGGCAAATATCCTAACTTCTCTAAACCTCAAATTTTTCATCTAGAAAATAAGGTAAAATACCCAACTTACTGAGATGTTTTGAGAATTAAATGAGATTATGTCTGTCACATTATCAAGTGCTCAGTGTGTGATTGCAATTATAAGGCAGCTGAAACTTACCTGACTGCCCTTACTTGAGTTGCCAGTGGATTTGCTGTTAGATCATATGGACAAATGAATCTCCAAACTACTCTGCTTCTCTTGTATGATTCTGTGCACATTGTGCCAGAGAAGAATTATTTCAGATACCCATAGAATTRATGAGATATATTTACAAAATATACTTTTAAATCACAGATATTTTATTCAAATATGAATTTTACTTTTGCTTTTCTGAGATGATGGGGATTGAACCCAGGACCTTGTGCATTCTTGTGCATACCTTTCACCATGCCAAAGGGCTTTACCTCTTGGCCACTCTCCAGCACCTTGGTAAGATTTTTTTAAATGTTAGTATAACCCATGTAAAAATTCATTAAAGAATTTTACTATAGGAGCAATAGTTTCTTCTATTCCCCCCTCTTTGCCTATCTCTTGCCCTCAAAAAATGGCCCATATTTAGATTTGCCTTTCATTCTTTTCCTCTTACTTGCAAGCAGAACTCTTCTTCTCTTGATATACCTAAACAAAAAGCACAATTGAGGTGAATTTGATTGAGACTATAACATTGATATCTCCTTGCCTTAAGCCCTTTATCCACAACTTTCCTTTCAAAGTTTGCTTATTAACATCTGTGTATCTCTATTTGGGAATTTCAGATATTTGCTTTCTTTTGTTTTTCTCAAATTTTATATTAAATATCCCAATACATAACCAAAGGTTTAATGGACTAATGTAAAGAGGCCTACTGTAAGCATGATATTTTGCCTTTTTGAGTGATAGAAAAATTGCATTGTATTTCATGATTTATCCATGGTTGTTTTTATATGAAAACTACTTACAACTATTTACCATTGAATAAAACTCATATCCTGAAAGATGTGCTACAGCTATTCTGTATTCTGGTACATCCCACCTCTGAGCCTAGCCCACACCACCCAACCCAATTTGAGAAGCCTGACTACTAGTTTTTTCCATCTAGATATAAGGCTGCTCTTACTCAGAAAAGATGCAGATGAGGCCTCCAGCTGTCTCCCAGATGAAGTGGGTAGGAAAGAGCAGAAAGTTCTTACACACATTTCAAGGCTCATGTTATCACTTATTCATCTTTGTATGGAGTTTATGGCACCCCTACTCCAATTTCATTATTACTTTTAATTTGGCTGGACCTTAAGATAAGATCTAGGAAAAAGGATGGGGGAGGAGAGGGAATCAAAATAGGAGAGAACCAATTAAGGATAATTTCTTCCTCCAAGTTCTTTGTAATGTGGCATCTAATACAGTAGCCACTATCCACTTATGTCTTTATTCAGTGGCTGGTGCAGCTGAAGAATTTTTTACTTTAAATTGAAAAAGTGAAGGAGTATAAAATAGTTTCCCTTATACACAACTTTATTTTTATAGGACTTATATTTCATGTGAACTGTTAATTTACATTTCATGTAAATTGTTTTAAAAAGCACCRTAATTGTAAATAAGTATTAAAAAAACACTAGATTTCAAAGATTTAGAATGTAAAATATCTTAATTTTTACATTGATTACCTGTTAAAAATGATATTTTGGATATATTGGTTTGTCTTTTCTTTTTAAATGTGGTTCTAAAATAGTGTAAAATTATATATGTGGCTCTCATTATATTGGACAGTGCTGCTCCACCCTCACTACATCCAATCTTATTTTCCATTCCTTCCTTCAGCAGGGAAATTTCTGAGGGTCAGGAAGGAGAATCTGAACCTAAATCCTTGAACACCAAGGGAGGCATGGCTGCCTGGGTCACTGTGAGTCATGGATTCAGAGGTTCTCATTAGGATCTTAGAGTAGTATACTGCTTTGCCCATTCATACCTCCATTTCCCAAGTACCCTAAAAACACACTGACCACAGAAGTAATACTAACTAGTATCTATGTTTAGTAATCACCACCAAAGTAATGTTCATGTATATGGTTAAATACTGATGGATTTACTTTGTTTCAGATTTTATTAGATCATAACACTGTATATTCATATACATTTACAATCAGCCATTCCAATAGGATGATCATATACTCAAAATATTTAAAAATAGAACAGTTTATGAAATTGTCATACATTTCTTTGCTAGAATTATTTTCAACTAGTCAATAAATACCAATAAATGCTATTGAATAAGCAACTGTAACAAAAAAAGGAATTTACCAATATTTTTATGGAAAGGGTTGCTTTTCAGTACAACACTTGACATCAGTAATTAAGTTCTAGTTGTTAGACAAGTTTCAAGTCTCAATTTATCACCTATTTATCTTTCTATGGAGTTTATAGTACCCCCACTCCAACTCCATAATTACCTCCAATTTAGTTGGACCTCAGGATCTAAGAAAAAGAATAGGGGGAGAGGAGGGAAACATAATAAAGGAAAGAGAATTATGGAACCAGTTAAGTTCTATAATTGGTGATAGTTTGCCTTATTCTATAAAATAATTTGAGGTGGTGTTTAACAACCATGTAATAAAATTATGCCAGTTCAAGCAGAATAAAAAAAAATCAGGAAGAAAGAACACCACAAATAGATAATGAACTCAGCATGGTTTTTATACTTTCAAATTTAGTTCTAATTCCAGAATAGTCGAAGCAAAGTGGTATACAGTATCTGATTATTTCGGAAGAGGAAGTATATTAGCTACCCAAAAGAAGCATAGCTTTTCCTGGCACTGAATTCTAAAAGCAATTTCTAATGTGAGTCACTATCACAAATAATATTTTTAATAGCAAGTTCAGTAACAGTTCAGATGACTGCTTCCGGTAGATTACTCAATTAGTTTTTATATAGAAATGAATGAATGTGATAAATAATTAATGTTTTATTTTTACAGGAATCTTGGGGAACCAAAATGAGGCACAATCAGATGTGTTGTGAGACACCACCTACTGTCACTGTTCACGTAAAATCAGGCCCGAATAGATCACATCAGCCTAAAAAAACCATTAATCTGAAGCGTCCTATTTTTAAAGATAGTTGGCAAGCATCTGAAAAAAATGCATATAATAACAAATCTAAACGCCCTAAAGGACCTTGTCTGGTTATACAGCGTCAGGAAATGACTGCTTTCTTTAAATTATTTGGTAGGTTTAAAATGTCTAATAGTGTAATTATAAAATATGTTAAATTATAAACATATATTTTATCATTTTCATAGAGATCTAAGAGAATAATATTATTTTCTGTGTCAAATGTTCCATCTCCAACCAGGTTTGCATTTGTTTTTACTAGTCTTTTTTAAATGTTGGAGTTTTGATTGCTTTTCTTGCTAATGGATTAAAAATTCAGATTCAACTAAAATGAGCAGTACACATATGTAATTCCAGTAACTCAGGAGGCTGAATCAGGAGGATCAAAAGTTCAAGACCAGTCTCTGCAATTTAGTGAGATCCTGGGGATGGAGCTCAATTCCCAGTACCAAAAATTAATTAATTTTTGACTTCTAGACTACTTAAATCCAAGTGTATAAAATGTAGATTATGAGCACTTTCGGATCATAGCATGAGTTTTATTTGACATAAAGTAAAATAATACATGAAGACTCAAGGGAGCTACCAACCCAGGCTTAAGGGTTTCCCAGGACTTTCACAGCTAAAACCAAGCAAATGGATGTTGGTTTCTCTAGAAAAGTTCAGTATTACAAGTATTACATCTTGGGAATATTATAAAAAATTAACAAATGTTTTATCATGTTCACATAATAAAATTGAGTTTGAATTTGTTCAAATCATGAGACAATGCTCCTATGCTGATAAATTCTGTAATAGGCAAAAATAATCTTCTTTATAGTACTTCTAGCCAAGAAAGAACAGGAATCTTTATTTGGAGATATGGTAAGTAAGGTAGACAGATTAGAAAATGGGGTAGGCTACATGGGTTCTGGGAAGTACCTTTGGGAATGAATAAAGTCAGTTGATACCGTAATTTGGTGGATATAGGTAACAGTTCTCCTTGTTTATAGAGGAAAGCCAGTTGCATTAAGGCAAGCTGGTTAAGATATAAAGAAACCAGTGAAAAAAGTGAGATCTTTAAAAAGAAGAAGGAAAAGGAAATATATATAAGGAATAAAAGTAGAAGAAGATATAAAAAAAAATGCTCCCTCATCAGGAATTAGAATGTTAACACAAGTTTCCCTTTCTCCTTATTATGGATAGGACATAGGCTGGGGTCATAGCTCAGTGGTAGAGCATTTGCCCAGCATGTATGAGACACTAGGTTTGAGTGTCAGCACTGCATATAAATAAAAACATAAAGGTCCATTGACAACTAGAAAAGTGTGTGTGTGTGTGTGTGTGTGTGTGTGTGACAGTGACAAAAATTGGGGAACGTAGCTCAGTGGTGGTGCTTGCTTAGCACATGTGAGGCCCTGGGTTTGATCCCCAATACCACAAAAAATTTTTAAAATTGTATAGGATAAAATTATTTCTTATAAACTTCTTTAGTACCGACAACTGGTCATCAGATACATGAGAAAATACCTACTGTTAGCTTTGGTAACAAGAAATAAAAATGGAAGCTCGTGTGGTGGCACATACTTGTAATCTCAGCAACTCAGGAGGCTGAGTAAGGCAAGAGGATTGCAAGTTCGAGGCCAGTCTCTGCAATTTAGCAAGACACTGTCTCAAATTTTAAAAGGGCCAGGATGTAGCTTAGGGTTAAAGTACCCCTGGGTTCCATCCGTAGTACCACCCCCTCAAAAGCCAAAAATTAATTCTCAGGAAAATCAGTAGTTATTCTTAGAACTTTCCAAAATTTTATTACATTGATATTTGTAGCATGTAAAATGACTATAAAGGAATTATGCTTTGTTAAATAAAATGTGGGGTGGGAGAATGAGCTGGGCCCAATGCTACATGCCTTGTAATCTCAGCTAGTTGGAAAGCTAAGGCAGGAGATGACAAATTCAAGGCTAGTCTCGGCAACTTAGACCCTATCAATATAAAAATAAAAAAGGCTGGACTGTATCTCAGTGGAAGAGTGTCCCTGTGTTCAATCCCCCATACCACAAATTAAATAAATAAAAATAAAAGGAAAGGGTTGGGGAATGCAAAAAAGCAGATTTTCCTAGATTATATCCTAAAAACTACCAATATATTTTGAGATTATGTATTTTCACCTTTAGTATTTATTAGTTTTCCCAAATTAAATATTAATAATAAAWAGTAAATTTTGAATCTCTTTTTGTATAAATATTTTCATATGTATTTGAATCATAGATAAGTGAAACAGATAAAAGAGAAAATCCAACACTAAAATCCCTGGAAAGTATTCATGCTGGATATAACACTTATAATCCCAGCAGTTTGGGAGGCTGAGGATCATAAGTCTAAAGCCAGCCTCAACAATTTAGCAAGGCCCTAAGCAACTTAAGCGCCCCTGGGCTCAATCCCAATTACCAAACAAAAAACCAAYATAAGTATTCATTAAATCATTTCTTTAAAACTGAATTATCTTATCATTTCATCTCCAACTGTACTTTGGAACCGGGCACAGTGGTGCATGCCTGTAATCCCAGTGGCTCTGGAGGCTGAAACAAGAGGATCTTGAGTTCAAAGCCAGCCTCAACAATGGCAAGGCACTAAGCAACTCAGTGAGAACCCTTGACTCTAAATAAAATACAAAATAGGGCTGAGGATGTGGCTCAGTGGTTGAGTGCCCTTCAGTTCAATCCCCAGTACCCCCCCCCAAAAAAAGTTTGATTTTGGAAAGAAATGATGAGCTAGAATTACATAATATGCTATTAGATAGTCAATAAACAAAACACCATTCTCCCTTAAAGCTGAGCTTCATACATAGGGAAGGGAGGCAAATCAGATGGGGAGATAAAAGATAAAGCAGTAGCTTTTTGTATGGTACTTGTTATAGCAAATATGCTAACTACTGACAATTACACCTTAGACAACACTGGTCTAGTCTTTTTTGTTGGATTTCTAAGCATCATTTATAATATCCTGATATAGAAAGTAAGTCTTCAAAAGGAGATATTTTATTATTAAAAGGTAAGTCATAGCTGTGTTTTGTTGTAGATGATGATTTAATTCAAGATTTCTTGTGGATGGACTGCTGCTGTAAAATTGCAGACAAGGTAAATTTGGTAACAATATAAATCATTAGCATTTATTATGTTACTAGATCATCAGAACTTTAATGAAACACTGTAAGAGCTTATTTTACTAAGAATAGGAAAACAGACTGCATTGTTTCTTCAACACAAAATCCTTATACCTTAATTTTTGGAATTAATATACTATATAGATTTCAGTGAATATTATTGATTAGATTTAAATGAAGTTTATAKCTAAGTTTATATCTTTTATTGAAAACAAGAATCAATATAGACTTGATACATTTTTATTAGAATTATTACCTTTTATCAGGCTGCAGGGAAAATATTTTGAGATTCACTCCTTTTGTAGCAGTTTCTTAAACATTTGAATATTTGAATATTTTATCATTAAGATAAAACAAGGGCTGGAATTGTGGCTCAGTGGTAGAGCACTTATCTAGCATGTCAATATCAGCACCACATATAAATAAAGAAAAATAAAAAAGTTTTAAAAAAAAGAAAGCTATAATTGAAAAAAAAGATAAAACAAATAGGTATAATCTCAGTGATTCCAGAGGCTGAGGCAGGAGGATTATAAGTTCTAGACAAACATCAGCAAGATCCTGTCTCAAAATTAATAAAAAGGCCTGAGAATGTGGTCAGTGGTAAAGTGCCCCTGCACCTGCTGCCCCGCACCAAATCTCAATGATTTTTTAGGGTAAAATTAGTTTATCGTGTTCTTTATTTAGGGCTATTCAAGTTTACATAATATCTAACTTACATTCTCAGAACAATGCTGTTTTTATGCTTTTTTCTTTTTTACTTATATATAAAACAGTGGAATACAACTCTTATATATAGAACTCAATTTTTTATATCTCTGTATACATAATATATTCATCCAAATCCGTGTCCTATACGTGTACTTTGGATAATAATGATCATCACATTCARCCATCATTAATTACCACATGCCCACTTCCTTCCCCTCCCACCCCTCTGCCCTATCTAGAGTTCATCTATTCCTCCCATGCTCCCCCTCCCTATCCCTCTATGAATCAGCTTTCTTATATCAGAGAAAACATTCTGCATTTTTTTTTTTTTGTGATTGGCTAACTTCACTTAGCATTATCTTCTCTAACTCCATCCATTTACCTGTAAATGCCATGATTTTATTTTCTTTTATTGCTGAATAATATTCCATTGTGTATATATGCCACATTTTTATGCTCTTTTAATAAACAAAAGAGAACTGTTTCTATGCTTTTTGAGTTAGCTAAATAGTTACAATTTCAGCTTTGTAAGTGCCATTTTAGACTAGGCAGTCATGTTGACAGTTCAGCATAACTTCACATCACACTTTAAATGTGTAAACAAAAGGAATGATTGGAAATTTAGCTTACGATTAAGTACTACTAAGTATTGAAGTGAATCTTTTTACTTCCCACTTAAGATGGCAAAGATAAAATGAAAAGTGTTTATTTTAAATTTTGGAAACTTCATTTTTGAAAATTCCAAATATATACAACTTAAAGTAAATCATATGGTATGAAGGCCCACTGGGTACCTCTCATCTGGCTACCACAGTCATGAATTCATGGCCATTTTTGTTTCTTCTAAATCCCTGCCCTTGAGACTGGATTATCTTCAGGCAAATTACAGACATCCTAGCCTTTAATCCATAAATATTTTAAAATATAATCACAATGTCACTAACACTTTAAAATTTACAGTAATGTTTTAATATCAAATATCCAGTTTCTGTGGAATCGTTTTAAACTTTATGGCTTTTTTTATGCATTAAAGTTGTGGACAGCAGGGGGCAGTAGTTGAAAAGAGAACTGTATCAACACTACTTTAATAATCCTTTACCAGAAGTCACATGAAAACTTGGAATCACCTTGGTGCCCAATACTGTGACTATAAGATGAATGGGTATTTTATGAGAAAGAAAATATTACAATTATAACTTGTTTGTAATTTGAATAGTAAGATCCTGTTGTGTTCTAATAACAGGTTAGCCATGTAGCTTTCTAATAATACATTTAAAATATGTTTTCCCCGTGGGAGTGGAGTCATCTTATCCTAATTTCTTGAGTTATTTAGAAAACTCCTGAAAGTTACTTGAAAAATTAAGTATCAGGGCTCAGTGGTAGAGCATATATTTAGCATACATGATGCCATATATTTAGCATACATAATCACCAGCACCAAGAAAAAAAGGCAGGGAGGTGATCATGGATGTCTACAAATAAAAGTTTAGAAGAAAAGTGTATTGTGTGTGTGTACACACACACACACACACACACACAAAAATAAAGCAAATGCTGCAAAATAATAATTTGTGAGTCTATAAGAATGATGTATAGTAATTTTAATATTGCTTCAACTTATCTATGGGTTTGAATTTTAAGTTAGAAAAATGGGGTTTTAATTCAAAAAATTATTTACACAATAGTCTTATCTAGTTAATAAATGGTCAATAACTGTCACTATTGACATGCATTGATTACAGGAAACGAGGAAAGTAYTCAAATTGATACTATAATAAAGATRATGCTTTTTAACTTGTTTATAAAAATTTTAAATATAACTATCTGGACAATTTATGAAAGCAAATGTTAATTTCTAACTTTTTTCCTTATAGTATCTTTTGGCTATGACCTTTGTTTATTTCAAGAGAGCTAAATTTACTATAAATGAGCATACCAGGATAAAYTTCTTTATTGCTCTGTAAGTATGCTTTCTATGATGTGATTTTATGTTATTTATAATGTATGAGATAATTTATTTAAAACAGAAGCAGTTTAAAACTTTATGGATATCTTTGCTGGCGTGGGGGTGCATGCCTATAATGCCAGTGGTTTGGGAGGCTGAGGCAGGAGGATTTTGAGTTCAAAGCCAGCCTCTGCAAAAGTGAGGCACCAAGCAACTCAATGAGACCCTGTTTCTAAATAAAATACAAAATAGGACTGGGGATGTGGCTCAGTAGTTGAGTGTCTCTAAATTCAATCTCTGATACCCAACCAACCAAAAAAAAAAAAACTTTATGGGTATCTTTGAATAGACCTTCCTGTATAAAATCTATGCATTTTTTACCTTAATATGATATTTTTATGTTCTTTTCATTGATCTTATCATGCTGCATGCCTAAGACTTATTGTTYAATATTCCTCTTGAGTTTGTATTGTGCCTTTTACATTTTTCAGAGTGTTCCCATATACTTTATCTCAAATTCTCTTCTTTATGACTTAATTTTTAAAAAAAAAAAAGAAGCTAGGATTTTGCTGGGGCTGTGGCTGGGTGGTAGAGTGCTTGCCTGACAAGTGTGGGGCACTGGGTTCAATCCTCAGTACCACATAAAAATAAATAAATGGATTAAAGGTATTGTGTCCATCTACAACTAAATATATTTTTTTAAAAGCTAGGAGATTCTCTTTTAAATTTCCAGTTAATATACAATAAAAATCATTACTATCATTGCCCTTTTACATTGAATATTTTGTGGGAAATAGTCTAGACATACTCTTTGTGTATCTATGTCTATAAGATAGCAGTCATTCATGTTTAATTCTTTTGGTATCCACTGACTATTTTACTGAACACAGTGAACAAAGGAATATAGTTTGTTTTCCATTAACTTTGTTAGTTCATGTAAACTTTGTGATCTGTTAAATGATTTTAATGATGTGATTTTCCAATCTATAAGTCAGAATTCAGCTAATAGAAATGTAATTTTAAAATATATTTTGGAGRGGCTGGGGATATAGCTCAGTTGGTAGAGTGCTTGCCTTGCATGCACAAGGCCCTGAGATCCAGCACCACACAAAAAACCATACAGTCTCTCTCTCTCACACACACATACACACACACACACACTCACTCACACACACGCACACACACACACACACGTATATGTACGTGTGTGTGTGTGTGTGTGTGTGTGTGTGTGTGTGTGTGTGTGTGTGGGCTGGGGTGTTGCTCATTGGTAGAGTACTTGACTAGCATGTGTGAGACCCTGTATTCAATCCCCAGGACAAAAAAAAAAAAAAAAAAAAATATATATATATATATATATACACATATATATATATATACATTTTTTTGTTTTCTATCTTATATCTGGATATAATGCAACATCAAACTTACAGATATAAAATATAAAATATTTAGGTTACATACCACAGTATCTATCAACAACAAAGAGTAAGTTTTTACCTAAAGTCTATTTTAATTTGGAATTAGAGTTATTAAAGAAAAAAAGAGTTATTAAAGACATAAGACTAGAAGAAACTGATCGTTGCATTTATTAAAGAGACATACTTTTGAATACATAGGAAAAAGTGAACTCAAATTTAAAATTTGGTGATGATTGCTAAATTGGAAGAATATAATAGTATTAGCAAATACTGAGTATTACATACAAAGCACCATGGCATTTTTTATATATTAATATATTTAGTTTTCCCTGTGAAATAATTTTTTTGAGACAGGGTCTCACTGTGTTGCTTAGTTGTTGGCCTTGAAATCGTAATCCTTCTGCGTTAACCTCCTCAGTAGGTGGGATTATAGGTTTAGTCACCATGCCTCCTTGAAATGCATTTTTTTTAAATCACCGGTTTACAGATGAGGAAACAGACTCAGAAAGATTAATTATTTTCGAAGATCATGAAAGTTAGTAAGAAGCAGAGATGAGGTACAAATTCAGCTGTGATTTACCAATAGTCAAATTCAGCCATTGACACCAAGTTAAATGGCTGTTATTACATCAACATACAGATATGTTGATGTCTCAGTATTATATCTGTATGTTGATGTAATATCTTTTATAGTTTTTTCTCACCTGAGAATTTTTTTAAAACCTGGAACTTTAAATCTTACTAGAAGCCTTAAATTGGATTTGTTTCACATGTTTTGTAAAGTTATCATTAAAGCACTTGTCAGCATGTACTATGTAGTGTGTAGTCTGTAGGTTGCATCTCATGTTGCATTATAAGTTCTTTTTTTTTTTTAGAGAGGGAGAGAGAGAATTTTAAAATTTATTTTTTTAGTTTTCGGCAGACACAACATCTTTGTTTTTGTATGTGGTGCTGAGGATCGAACCCAGGCTGCACGCATGCCAGGCAAGCTCGCTACCGCTTGAGCCACATCCCCAGCCCTATAAGTTCTATATTAAAAATAACATGAATTATAATTTCCATTCTATGTCTAGTCATAATTTTTTGTATAGCCTGACTCAGTAGTTCCTATATTTTCTATTTAGCCACAGTTCTAAAACTGAATTTCTCTTCCTTTCTTTATAATCTTAGTTTCCTTTCAATATATTCTTTTTTTTTTTTTTAAATATCTATTTATTTATTTAGTTAGTTAGTTAGTTTTCGGCGGACACAACATCTTTGTTGGTATGTGGTGCTGAGGATCGAACCCGGGCCGCACACATGCCAGGCAAGCGTGCTACCGCTTGAGCCACATCCCCAGCCCCTCAATATATTCTTATAACACTCTGAACTTCTATTATCACTCTTCCATATTCTCTTTCATGGTTTTTTGTTTCATATTTACTTGCCACCTCTACTTAACTGCTCCTTAAGATCAAAGAACATGTATCTTTTTTTCCCCACATAGGAAGGGTTGAATTCAGGGCCTCAGTGTTAAGAAAATGCTCTACCAGTGAGCTACATCCCCATTCTTTTTTAAAATTTCATGTTGAGACAGTCTTGCTAAATTGCCCAGGCTGACCTCAAATTTACAATCCTCCTGCCTCAGCCTCCTGAGCCGTTGGGATTACACACACTCCTTACCACACCCAGTTCATTTATCTTTTTTTTTTAAATTTCATCCTTCAATGACTATAATAGGAAGTTCTTAATTCTTTACTTGAATAAACATAATTATTATGCAAAAGAAATGGACTCTGCACCAAGGAAATCTGTTTCAAGTTGGAGGATATCTTCCTCATATGTGATAGAGATTTTGTCATACTGAACATGAAAAAGTTGTTAATGTAGAGTAGAATCATGATGTGATCCCAATATGGCTCCAAAGTACATTATAGATTTTTGATATTTTTCAGATGTATTATCCCCTTATTTTAACATGGTATTTTTTAAATTTTCTGCCCATGATTCCTTGTTCCCTATGTATTTTGTAATATTTTTGTTGTATATTACCCATCTTTCCTGAAAAATCAACTGTGGGACTTGCATTATTTCAGATGGCAAATCTGCTCCATCCTTAACTTTGTTCCTATATTATCTAACATGTCTCATATTTTTTCTGACTGCTTTTAATATTTTTTTATCATTAGTTTTGAGCAATGTACTTTGGTATAATTTTCTTCATATCCATTTGGCTTTGAAGATTTATAATTTTCATMAAATTTTTAAAATGTTCAGCCATTATTTCTTTAAATACTTTTCTGCATACCCACTGACTTAAGAGACTCTAATTTCACCTTTATTAGACTTTTGGGGGTTATCCCACATCTAAATGATGCCCTGTTCATGATTTTTGTTCCTTTTTTTCCTCTGTGTATGTCATTTCAAATAGTTTCTGTGCCTTCAATTCACAAATCTTCTATAGAATTTAATCTGCCATTAATTCCAGTATAATTTTCTTCTTCTTTCCTCTTCTTTTTCTCCTGCTCCTTTTTTCCTTCTCCTTCCTCCTCCTCCTCTTTTGCTTCCATTTTCTCCTCCTTCCTCCTTCTCCTCCTTCTTATTCCTCCTCCTCTTTCCTCTTCTTTCCCCTCCCTCCCTCCCTCCCTCCCTCCCTCCCTCCCTTNCTTCCTTCCTTCCTTCCTATTCTGGCTTCAAACTCGAAATCTTCCTACCTCAGCCTCCCTAATAGCTGGGATTACAGGCTTCATTTAGTATAGTTTCATCGTATTTTCATGTCTAGACACACATTTTCAATGTCTATTTTTTGAGCATATGGATTAATTTTAACTTTAAAAATATTTTTCAGTAGATGAACATAATACCTTTATTTTATTTATTTTTATATGGTGCTGAGGATTGAACCCAGTGCCTCACACATGCCAGGCAAGTCCTCTACAACTGAGCCACAACTCAGCCATAATTTTAACTTTTAATGCCCTTGTCTAGTTTTGGACTGGGTTTCATTGATTGGTTATTCTTATTATGGATTGTTTTCTTTCTTCTGTGCATGCCTGGTCCCTCTCAAATATTTGACAGAATTCTGATCTCCATTCATGTATACAGAAACTACCTGAGTCTAGGGAAAGATTATTTTAAAAAATATTAGGAAACAGTGTTTAACATTCATTCACATAAGCTGGGAACAATGTCTGTTTCTACCAATCAGACTGAAAATTCATAATTTATGAAGTTTTAAGAAAAGAACTCAAGAACTCAGGAAGTTCTTGCCTCAGGTAGTTATCAGTAATTAGCCTCAGACTCAACATTAACATTGCTCCAGATACATATAAGAAATAATAAAATCAGGACATGGAAGGATCCAGTTGTTTCCAAGTAACTTAACTGCATCCCAGTATGAAACTTAAGATTTATAGGAGTACAAAAATACCCAGAACCCAACAAGGTAAAATTCCCTGTATCTCTATTTTTGGTATGCCTTTCTTTAAATTATGAGTAAAATTGAACATCTTATATGTGTTTAAAAGCCATTTGTATTTCTTTTTTTTGTTGTTGTTAACTATTCTTCCTGTCCTTGCCCATTTCTTTTTTGGGTTATTGGTCTTATTAGGTATCTGGCTAATACAGTTGAAGAAGATGAGGAAGAATCCAAGTATGAAATTTTTCCGTGGGCTCTAGGGAAAAACTGGAGAAAACTGTTCCCTAATTTCTTAAAGTTAAGGGACCAACTCTGGGATAGAATTGATTATAGGGCTATTGTAAGCAGACGATGCTGTGAGGAGGTAAGGACTTTAAAATGCTTACATATGTAACCTTTGTCTTCTGTTTATTTAATTTTCCTTTCTTTTTAATATGGTTTTAATGTTTCTTTTTTGTTTTGTATATGTAAGCATATATAATAAACCTGACTATTACTATGTCTACCATTTCTGAATTATCTTATTGGTATTTGAATTTGTGTCATAATAATTAAAAATTGTCATTTCTGTTTTTCAGAGCAGGCTACTCCTATAGTACTTTTATTTTAATGTGCTTCTCGTTCCTAGAAGATCACCAATATATTAGGAAAGAGTGGTGTGAGCCTACCAAATTAAATGCTTATTAAGGATTGTAATAACTCTGGAATTGAAYCAACAACTTATGCTAAATATGTGATATTTCAAGTTCCCAAGATTGAAGTATATAATTTAAATATTTTTTAAACCCATATCTCTATTCACATAGAATACGTTGTTTCCTTGATGTTAGATTTCAAGGTAAACCAAAAGGACACTAAAAATTTTAAAGTCAATTATTTGATCAAATGTTTTGGTTTTTAATAAAGAAAGCTAATGTTTCAAACTAAAGGAAAATTTGAGAGAAAACTAAATGGAGAACAGTGATCACTGTAAGCTCTTGTACTAGTTTAGAAATTTTGATAAATGTAAGGTAGATTAATTTATCACTAAGTTAATCCTATACAGTTAAATGATTATGGGCCAAAAGGAACCAATTAAAGGACTAGTGGCAAACCTAAGTGAAGACTTCAGTGGTATATCACAGAATTCTGCCTAGAACCAATCTTTTAATTATATTTATTAATGAATGAAGATGAAACAGACATGCATATTTATAGGATAAATTAAGAGGATTGTTGACTCTTGGGAAAAGATTCAGAAATAACTTAAAAGAATACACAGTAAGTCAAGCTTTTACAAGATTAAATTCAGTAGATGAAAAGTTGGATGTATGAGGTCCCTTCAAATTAATGGATCCTCATTAAGGAATTTAAATTGGACTCATTCCAATTACAGAGCATTGGAAGAGTCCTGTTTTTCACTTTGTCATTCCCTCCCCAATTTAAGAGTGGATAATTTGCATATCTGTTGACATCCTTATGGACTATATTTGAACACACTAATTTTTTCAAAGTAAATGCTTCAGAACCTGTGAGACACCCAGCTAAAAGAATAGAAGGGGGCTAGCTCTGTTGGTAGAGTGCTTGCCTCAAATGCCCAAGGCCATGGGTTCAATCCCCAGCAACACCAAAAAAGAGAGAGAGAGAAAGAGCGCATGCGCGAGTAGTAGTAACAAGACTCCAGGAGGACTGGCAATACTTTATCTGATGACGGGCCACCCCCTACTTTCTAGACATTTTCACACCAGCAGGGTTAATATACTCTATTAGAACTGGAAACATCTTATCTGCTGTACCAGACTGTAAAAGAGCCAAAGAGAATGCTGTRGCTTAATGGTGTGAACTTTATAATGAAGCTCTGAAAATTACCCATGAATTTCCTCAGTTTTTTCCTTTAGGRGTTGCACAATATGATTGATCTTAATGAATTTTCTTGTGATTGCAAATGGTTATGGTAAAGACTATTAAAGGAGGCCTCACTTGTTTGATGGAGAGGCTCATATGATTTCTAATATTTAATTTGCTCCATTTAAATTTTCATTTACTCAACTTTAGACATTCTAATCTGCATTTTTATTGGAACTGATATATTGACTGTTCTCACCCAAGTCCTTTTATAAACTATTGCCACTCCAGTATGTGGTCAGATAAGATCAGAGTCAGAGCAGTTTACACAACTGCTATTTTACTAATTAAAATTTTTAAATAAAAAATAATGTGAATATAAAAGATTAAAATATTGTAGACAGCTGAAAATTTAGTTTTGGAATGGAACTTCCAGGAAGTTTAGACTTAAGCTGCAGAAAAGAGGTAATCATCAGATTATAGCTAAAGTATTGCATTTGGTTCTGCATACCACACTTGAAGAATATTGAAGAACAAATATATAGAGGAGAGCAACTAGAATAGAGCAGGGTGCTGGGGATGTGGCTCAAGCGGTAGCGTGCTCGCCTGGCATGCGTGCGGCCCRGGTTCGATCCTCAGCACCACATACAGACAAAGATGTTGTGTCCGCCAAATACTAAAAAATAAATATTAAAATTCTCTCTCTCTCTCCCTCTGTCTCACTCTTTAAAAAAAATAGAATAGAGCAGGGTCTTAAAAGAAAAATGTCATATGTAGAATAACAAAAAGTAGAGATCTTTAGTATGAAGAAGAGAAGATTTCGGAAGCTTACTAGCTGCTTTCAGATATTTAAAGTACCATAGCAGGACAGAAAATATATGTGAATTTTCTTTTTGGAATGTAAGCAGAGGATTAAGATCTGTAGATGGAAAACTAAAATTCAGTAATAATCATTCAGTTGTTCTAACAGTTATGTGAAAATGAGATAGACTGTTCGAGAGGCAGTGATTTCTGTCACTGATGACTTTTTAAAAACAAGCAGTTGATTGTTATAGAGAAGATTCATCCTTTAGGTAAGCAATTAAACTAAAGTTTTTCCTAACTTTAAATTTTGAGAGTTTAAAGGTATATAAATTTTTATTGCTTGAGCTTTTCCTGGGCAAGCTAGCTTGTTCCTTAATGTTTGATAGAACTCATTCATTCATTAAGTACATACTGATTTATTGATTATGTAGTAAGTCTACCAGATCCTTTGTATTGCTTTTAACTTAAAAATGCTTAAAGCAAAAATAGCAATAACATCCATTCATTCTAGGTCGTAGAAATATGAATGCATAATTGTTATTGTATCCCTTATGCTTTTTCATATGTCAACATTTAAAAACTGTTTTTAAACTGATAAAGAAAAACACAAAAATTGTACATATTAATGGGATACCATGTGATGTTTCATTACATGATTTCATTGTATAATCAGGTTAGACATATCTATCTCTTCACAAACATTTATCACTTTTAAAAAATATTTATTTTTTAGTTGTAGTTGGATGCAATACATTTATTTTATTTATTTATGTGTGGTGCTGAGGATAGAACCCAGGGCCTTGCACACGCTAGGCTGAGCCACAGCCCAAGCCCCTGCGTTTATCACTTTTTTGGGGCAAAAACATTTCAAAATCCTTTTTTATAAACAAAAAAATCCTTTCTTCTAGCTTTTTGATCAAATAGTTCACCTTATTTAAATCTGCTTAATCCCTTTATCCTCTATCACAATATCTTATTTGTTTCTATAGCACTGAACAAATTTTGTAGTTATTTACTTGCCTGTTGTTTAAACTATAAACTGAATATTTTATGAAGTCAAAYATGTTACACTTCTAATATCTCCCATTTCTGTTCTCACACTCAATTGGTAACAATAATGCATTCTCTTTAACTGAGAAAATAAAGCAATCAGAAAAGAATGTCAACATACAGCAAATCTGTCATTCTAACTGTATGTTTACCTATATATTCTGCCTCCCTTCAGTATTGTGGAAGAATCATCTTTGCTCCTATCCAAGTCCATTCCCTCTATTTGTGCACTAGATCTCATTTTTTCTTGCTTTTTTCATAACATCACTCCASTAATCATCTCCTTTTCCAGCATTTCATATTTTGTTTTACTAGACCACTGCCATCAGAATACAGAATTGCTCTAAGATTGTCACCAACTTAAACAAATTAAAAAGTTTCATCCCCCAGCTACATATCTGTGCCCTGCCTCTTTTAATTAAACCCYGTAAAGAGTTTGTACTCTGTCTCTACTTCCTTCCTTTTCATTCTCCTTGAAACTATGTAAAGTCTTCCCCATCATTACACAAAAACTTTTCAAGGTATCAAATAGTTCTGAATTGCCAAATCTGAAGTTCTTAGCCCTCAACTTAGCAGCAGCTAAGATGTCATTTATCCAGATATTCTCTTCATTTGGTTTCAAGGATATCAGGTTTTTCTTATTCAGGCCTATTTGTCAGTTCCTTTCCACCTCACTAATCTCATTAGAATGCCCCAGGGCTCAGGGTCCTAGGAGAGACTTCTCTCTTCTACTGATAGTACTAATATCATTCATTCCCAAAGCTTTAATGAGGATAGCTAACATCTCTTCCACATCCTGGTCTGCATATCAAATTGCTTGTTCATATTTTATTGCCTAAATAATAACCCAGACTTAACATGTTTAATACTGAACTCCATATTTCTCTACACAGACCTCTAAACCTTCTATTCCTATTGTCATCCATATGTTAGTAAAAAGCAACTAAAACTTTTAGTTGTTCAGGCCAAAAAATTGTTATTGTTGACTCTTTTTTCCTTTGTCTCACATCCATACTTGAAAAAATATCATTTCTTATAAACCCCACCACTAATATCCTACTGTCATCTTTTGCCTTGATTTTTTCCATAACCTTCCCAATGGTCTCTCCTATAACCTTTCTTCCCTGTACTTTAAGAGGTTCATACAGCAACTGAAGTAAATCTTCTAAAAAATAAGTGAATCATGACTCTTTTCATCAAAAGCCCCCAGTGGCTTCTCATCTCATATAGGGTAAAAGGCAAGGTCCTTATGGTTCTATCAGCTCTCCTTTCTTATCATTTGACCTCATCTCCTATCCTTGCCCACTCTACTCCAGCTACACTGGCCTCCTTGCCATACTCTTCAAATACACCAGGCTCATTCCTACCTTAGGTTCTCTGCACTTGCTGTTCTCATTACTTAGAATGCTCTTTCCCTAGAATTGAATATGCTTCACTTCCTCACTACATCCAGGATTATGCTTAAATGTCACCTTAAAGAGATTTTTCCTTATGCTACATAAGGTAATATCTCCCTCAAAGTAGTATTGAAGTGTCTAGAAAGCAACTATCACTATTTTGTTCAGTTGAATTTTGACAAGGTTGCCAAGAGAATTCAATGGGGGACAAATAGTATTTTTTTTTTCAACAAATGGTGCTGGACAACTGTCATGCAAAAGAATGAAGTTGAGTTACCTCCCTTATACT